AATCACACCCAGACATCAGCCCAGGGCTACCTTTTATAACAATCACACCCAGACACCAGCCCAGGGCTACCTTTTATAACAATCACACCCATACATCAGTGCAGGGTTACCTTTTATAACAATCACACCCAGACATCAGCCCAGGGGTACCTTTTATAACAATCACACCCAGACACCAGCCCAGGGTTACCTTTTATAACAATATCACCCAGACACCAGCCCAGGGTTACCTTTTATAACAATCACACCCAGACACCAGCCCAGGGTTACCTTTTAAAACAATCACACCCTGACACCAGCCCAGGGTTACCTTTTATAACAATGTCAGTACAAATGAATCTCACTTTGTTTTATAACAATGTAAATTATACATTTTGTTTGTTATATTACATTGTATTGCAATATGTACAACAATGTATAACAATGTCAATGTATGTCAATATATGAAATGTATAACAAAGTCTGACTCTTGATGTATTTCAATTGCAATGTACGACAATGTATAGCAAAGCACTTTACTATATGACAATGTATAACATAGTATGACAGTGTATAACTATGTATAACATAGTATGACACTATATAACTATGTATAACATAGTATGACACTATATAACTATGTATAACATAGTATGACACTATATAACTATGTATAACATAGTATGACACTATATAACTATGTATAACATAGTATGACACTATATAACTATGTATAACATAGTATGACACTATATAACTATGTATAACATAGTATGACACTATATAACTATGTATAACATAGTATGACACTATATAACTATGTATAACATAGTATGACACTATATAACTATGTATAACATAGTATGACACTATATAACTATGTATAACATAGTATGACACTATATAACTATGTATAACATAGTATGACACTATATAACTATGTATAACATAGTATGACACTATATAACTATGTATAACATAGTATGACACTATATAACTATGTATAACATAGTATGACACTATATAACTATGTATAACATAGTATGACACTATATAACTATGTATAACATAGTATGACACTATATAACTATGTATAACATAGTATGACACTATATAACTATGTATAACATAGTATGACACTATATAACTATGTATAACATAGTATGACACTATATAACTATGTATAACATAGTATGACACTATATAACTATGTATAACATAGTATGACACTGAGTAAAGTATAATGTTTGCCATATAATATATATAGTAATGGATTGCAAGGTTTTTGTTTGTGAGAAGTCAATATATTACAAATGTATTTCAATAATTTGTGTATTTTGCATTCATCCTGATAGAGGTAGGACGACCCTAGATCAGACACAGGTGTCAACAGTAGAACATAATAAATACATATTTATATATATACATGAATTGTGTTGTGCTTCGTTGGGGGTCTAGTACAATAGGAGTGTGATGTGTTGACAAACCACAGCCTATAGAGCACTCTGTTACACCAGGTCAATTAAACCACACTTTATAATTGAAAAAAAACTTAAATCAATTAGAAAACAATACACTTAACCTATTTAAAATAGGTCAGCTTTCCTCTTGGTGTTTTTAAGACAAAATTAATTATGAATTAATGTTAAAAGGTTTCTACTATTAAATGTCAACTGTATAGTTAGCTGAGCTCGTGTGTTTTAGTAACACCATGATACAGAGAGTATAGACAGGTAAAAGCCCATAGCATCTTAATGCTGACCAGCTAAGGTCAGTGAATCACCTGGACTGGTCAGTTATATCCACACACCAGTTAGGACATTCATCTTGACCGAATATGCCTTACCATTACAGTAAAACACAATCAATTTACTAGAAGTGTATGCCTTACCATTACAGTAAAACACAATCAATTTACTAGAAGTGTATTTAAAGTTCACCTGGCTGATCACCAATAATGCAATCACTTCATGACTATTTTGCACATGAACATCAAAGTAAAACCTTTTTACCAATTTACTATTTTCCCTTTTGTTCAACACACACTCTTTCGGGTCAAATTAACAAACTCAATCAATTTTTCTCCTTGGCATCAAATGAATTTATTTTGAAAGCGAAAAATGTATTTTGTGAATTGAAATTTCGATTTGATTAAATAAAGAGAACATTGATGTATCTTTTCTTTCCTAGGGTATAACCCTGTCTGGTTGTTTGGTTCCTTAATAGGGCTTGACAACCTCCTACCTCGACAAACAGGTCACCAGTTACAAACGCATTGTGCTGCATAAATATAGCATTGTACTTTGGGGTGGTCCTTTATATGACAATGTACAGGTATTACCATCAAGAAACAATTAGTCAAATAAGGTTAATTAAAACACCTATCAATTAGTGAAAATAAGGTCAATTAAAATACCTATCAATAAGTCAAATAAGGTAAAAACATAATACATTCTGTAGGGTATATGTCTGTATATTTTATTGTATATTCTGTGGTACATTTTATTTATGTTGATACATTCAGAGACATAGATTTTGTATCATGTATTGTGTAAATTCTGTGATGTAAATTTTGTGATGTACATTTTGTGTGTACATTTTGTGATGTACATTTTGTGTACATTATGCAGTTCAATCTAGGGGTACATCCGGTGGTGTACTATTTTGTATACTATTTTTGGTACATTTTGTGATGTACATTTTGTGTACATTTTGTGATGTACATTTTTTGTGTACATTTTGTGTACATTTTGTGTACATGTTGTGATGTACATTTTGTGTACATTATGTGATGTACATTTTGTGTACATTTTGTGATGTACATTTTGTGTACATTATGCAGCTCATTCTAGGGGTACTTCCGGTGGTTTACTATTTTGTGATGTATATTTTGCGGCAACAGAAACAGAAAGGTGACTAAGGTTATGGTGTTGGTACAACAATTTTCATGTCTTATTGTGGTTTAAACTTTCCCATATAGGATCTGACTGTGGTCAGTCTGAACACAAGGTAAAGCCTGTCCATACACCAAGAAATTCTCTATGGTGGTTACCCTGTGTACTTAACTCCCAGTGGTGGGGACCTGCTCCAGTAGGGGACAGGTGTTGGAGCTGGCCAGTTGACCAATGGTACAAGTCACAACCCGGCTCTATACTTCTCCCAGATAATCGTCACATTGTATTTTGATGTGGACATTTGACCAGTGTTAGTAGTCACAAATAAGCTCTATCCCTTTCACTAAGACAACAAGGCACCTTGTAATGGATGTTCAACCAATGGTGCCAACCACAACTTAGTCAAATGTTCTTTCCTAATTTGACAACTTAACCACACCAATGCAAGTATTTTCATTTTTAAAAAACAATGTCCAATAGTAAATTTACATGTATAATCTGACTATCATGATCATAGGTGACTCCGGTACACTGAATTCCATGTGGATAATCACACTCTCTATAAACATATTAATGATCAGATATCGCTAAGCGTTCACGGTTGACTAACCTGTACCTAGCTTAAAGCACAGCGACACCCTGTGGTTTATGACATTGTGTGAGCCATCATAATGCCCTTTAATTCTCCAAACAATTACAGTTTATGAGATTTGTATTGCCCTATTAAGATAGTTATTGTAGAAACGTACATATTCTATCACCTAGTCCATTTACACTTGGTAGGCTTTCCTCAGGGAACACATGGCTATCTGTATGAGGCCTAAAAACATACTGAGGCATCTTAATGATATTTTGTACAAAATCCAATTAAACTGTATTAACAGTGGTCAAAGGAAATCAAACACCATCATTTCATACCTTTTGATCTTAAATCTGTTTTGTTGTACATGTAAACTTATCAGTTATTCATGTACACATTTTATTCTAAAACACAAAAACTCAGCTTCAAATTACATATTTTCACTGCACGACACCGAAAATGGAAAACTGCAGCAAAAAGCCACAAAGAGATCTGTTCAGTCACCTGTGCCCTACTTCACTAGCCTTTACCCATGTCATTGTTTTCTATGCATTCTAACCGTCTCGTTTTACATGAAAGTATTATTTGAAATAGTTTACCTATGAATCAATAAGTGCTACCAGATATTAATTTCCTTTGAGGAAAATATGTCGTTTACATTGATTATCATTAAAATTGCATTTTGGACTGAATAAAAGCAGTCAAGTTTGATAATGTTTCAATTTTATATTGATAAGAAGTGTTGACAAAAACAGGTCAACACCTGGACTTCTACATTTTAAAAAAATTTTACCAATAAGAGAATACAGGTTTACTTGGTTTCCACTAAACCCTACAGGACATATGTCTACCATGTTTTCCTGTTATATGTGAAAGCTATGCTTTCAACCTTTACAAAGAATATGCTTAGATATATTTCTATTGGCCACAGAAATGTAAAACTTGTATGCTGTACTGGGATTGGTAGAATTATAAATGCTATAACTTAATTGGATATATAAGCTGCATTATGATTGGTGGAAAAATGTATGTTGTACTGTGATTGGATAGCTATGCTGTATGCTGTACTGTAATTTCAAATATGAAAATCTGTGACTGGTAGATACAGATAGGCTGTAATGTGATTAGAAGATACATATAATTATATATAAACTGTAACTTGATTTGTAGATATAAAAACATGTATATACTGTAATGTGATTGGATGATATATATCTATGCTGTACTGTGATTGGATGATACATATCTATGCTGTACTGTGATTGGATGATACATATCTATGCTGTACTGTGATTGGATGATACATATCTATGCTGTACTGTGATTGGATGATACATATCTATGCTGTACTGTGATTGGATGATACATATCTATGCTGTACTGTGATTGGATGATACATATCTATGCTGTACTGTGATTGGATGATACATATCTATGCTGTACTGTGATTGGATGATACATATCTATGCTGTACTGTGATTGGATGATACATATCTATGCTGTACTGTGATTGGACAACATTGGTTACAACGACTTGCTTGACTTACCTTTAACTGCACAATGAGATTCATCTGCATCTTTTTTAAATGATGAAGAATGTTTATAAATGAAGTGAGGTTTGATATCGCTGTTATTTCCAGACTTATAGCTCGGATCATCTGTAGAGCACGGCTCCAAGGTATACCTCTCTCCCTGCATGTCAAACATACCTGACTGAAACAGAAAACACAAAAGGTCAAAATATAACAAAGGTAAGGTCAAGGACAAGGGTATAACAAAGACAAGGTCAAGGACAAGGGTATAACAAAGACAAGGTCAAGGACAAGGGTACAACAAAGACAAGGTCAAGGACAAAGGTATAACACAGACAAGGTCAAGGACAAGGGTATTACAAAGACAAGGTCAAGGACAAGGGTATAACAAAGACAAGGTCAAGGACAAGGGTATAACAAAGACAAGGTCAAGGACAAGGGTATAACAAAGGTACAGTCAATGATAAGGGTACAACAAAGGTAAGGTCAAGGGTACAACACAGGTAAGGTCAAGGACAAGGGTACAACAAAGGTAAGGTCAAGGACAAGGGTACAACACAGGTAAGGTCAAGGACAAGGGTACAACACAGGTAAGGTCAAGGACAAGGGTACAACAAAGACAAGGTCAATGACAAGGGTACAACAAAGGCAAGGTCCAACACTAGGACTTGAACCTAGAACAAATATAGTAACACTAGGACTTGAACCTAGAACAAATATAGTAACACAAGGGTACAACAAAGTTAAGGTCAAGGATACTACAAAGTTAAGGTCAAGGACAAGGGTATAATAAAGGTAAGTTCAAGGTCAAGGGTACAACAAAGTTAAGGTCAATGACAAGGGTATAACAAAGGTTTTATATGGATATAAACAATAAGGGTAGAAATCTTAACTGATAATGTAACGACTACAACAGAACTTTACCTGTACAAATATAGTAACACTGGGACTTGAACCTAGAACAAATATGGTAACACTGGGACTTGAACATAGAACAATTATAGTAACACTGGGACTTGAATCTAGAACATTAGGTAAAAGCTGCTCTAAAAATTTGACTACCTGGTCACAGACTATAAGACATACTCTTGTCAACAGAATAGGGATAACAAAACAAAGCTATGGTTTATGGTACATAAACGGCAGAAAATATCAAAAAGGTCATGACCTCACATACTAACTGTCTCTGTGGTTGAAGGTCATAACCTTAGGATACTAAGGTATAACACAGACAAGGTCAAGGACAAGGGCATAACAAAGACAAGGTCAAGGACAAGGGCATAACAAAGACAAGGTCAAGGACAAGGGCATTACAAAGACAAGGTCAAGGACAAAGGTATAACACAGACAAGGTCAAGGACAAGGGTACAACACAGGTAAGGTCAAGGACAAGGGTACAACACAGGTAAGGTCAAGGACAAGGGCATTACAAAGACAAGGTCAAGGACAAAGGTATAACACAGACAAGGTCAAGGACAAGGGCATTACAAAGACAAGGTCAAGGACAAGGGTATAATAAAGGTAAGTTCAAGGTCAAGGGTACAACAAAGTTAAGGTCAAGGACAAGGGTACAACAAAGGCAAGGTCCAACACTAGGACTTGAACCTAAAACAAATATAGTAACACTGTGACTTCACCCTAGAACAAATATAGTAACAATGGGAATTTAACCTAGAACAAATATAGTCACACTGGGACTTGAACCTACAACAAATATAGTAACACTATGACTTGAACCTAGAACAAAAATAGTAACACTGAGACTTGAACCTAGAACAAAGATAGTAACACTAGGACTTGAACATAGAACAATTATAGTAACACTGGGACTTGAACATAGAACAATTATAGTAACACTGGGACTTGGTCAAGGACAAGGGTACAACAAAGACAAGGTCAAGGACAAAGGTATAACACAGACAAGGTCAAGGACAAGGGCATAACAAAGACAAGGTCAAGGACAAAGGTATAACACAGACAAGGTCAAGGACAAGGGTACAACACAGGTAAGGTCAAGGACAAGGGTACAACAAAGACAAGGTCAAGGACAAAGGTATAACACAGACAAGGTCAAGGACAAGGGCATTACAAAGACAAGGTCAAGGACAAAGGTATAACACAGACAAGGTCAAGGACAAGGGTATTACAAAGACAAGGTCAAGGACAAGGGTATTACAAAGACAAGGTCAAGGACAAGGGCATAACAAAGACAAGGTCAAGGACAAAGGTATAACACAGACAAGGTCAAGGACAAGGGCATTACAAAGACAAGGTCAAGGACAAAGGTATAACACAGACAAGGTCAAGGACAAGGGTACAACAAAGGCAAGGTCCAACACTAGGACTTGAACCTAGCAAAGACAAGGTCAAGGACAAGGGTACAACACAGGTAAGGTCAAGGACAAGGGCATAACAAAGACAAGGTCAAGGACAAGGGCATTACAAAGACAAGGTCAAGGACAAAGGTATAACACAGACAAGGTCAAGGACAAGGGTACAACACAGGTAAGGTCAAGGACAAGGGTATCATAAAGGTAAGTTCAAGGTCAAGGGTACAACAAAGTTAAGGTCAATGACAAGGGTATAACAAAGGTTTTATATGGATATAAACAATAAGGGTAGAAATCTTAACTGATAATGTAACGACGGCAACAGAACTTTACCTGTACAAATATAGTCACACTGGGACTTGAACCTAGAACAAAGATAGTAACACTAGGACTTGAACCTAGAACAAATATAGTAACACTGGGACTTGAACCTAGAACATTAGGTAAAAGCTGCTCTAACAATTTGACTACCTGGTCACAGACTATAAGACAGACTCTTGTCAACAGAATAGGGATAACAAAACAAAGCTATGGTTTATGGTACATAAACGGCACAAAATATCAAAAAGGTCATGACCTCACATACTAACTGTCACTGTGGTTGAAGGTCATAACCTTAGGATACTAACAGTCTCTGTGATTCAAGGTCATGACCCCAGGGTACTAACAACCTCTGTGATAGAAGGTCATGACCTCAGGGTACTAACAACCTCTGTGATACAAGGTCATGACATCAGGGTACTTACAGTCTCTGTGATACAAGGTCATGACCTCAGGGTACTAACAGTCTCTGTGATACAAGGTCATGACCTCATAGGTCATAGCCTTAGGGTACTATCAGTCTCTTTGATAGAACTCCAGAGATAGTTGCACCTATTATCAATTACTCTAGAAATGTAGTCTTCAGTACAGAAAGGTTCTAGTGGAAAACTGCTCCAAATAAGAACATTTCACAGCCATCAGTTCAGGGAGCTTTGAGTGAGGGTTTGAAGCACCGGCCATAATGGTTTGAATGGATATTATCTGTACATTTCGTAACTGAAAAATCATGTTTCTATTGATCAAGTCTTCATATTCCATAAAACATACCTCCCTATAATAATATCAGTTAGTTATCAAACAGGACTGCAGGCAATAAGCTATGTAGTGTTGATGTCTTATAGTAACAGTATTTGTTGTAACATGGTTTTACCACATTTAAACAAAATCTGGACTTAATTCAGCAGAATCTGCAGATGAAACAGGTAGGTAAACAAGGGCCGTGTTGGTATGCATTAGATTTCAGGTCACCCCTCCCCTCCCAGTAGGTAACACACTCCGGGCCTATCCTCCAAACCATTGCTCCACTGATCTCATTCCTATCTAGGCCAAAACGCCAATGTTTCTTCCTAATATTTTTTCGGGACTACGTGTAATAAATACTGTATTAGTAGGAAGAAGCTAAGTCTTGTTATTGTAGCGTAGGGATAACTTGATTCAAACCCAACACTACGTAAATCATTAAGCATATGACGTCACTGCGGCTTTAATAAAAAGGGCATGCAGTGTGTACTGGATGAATTGTAAACGAGACTATAAAAAATCATTTTAAAGATCTCTGCGATGAACAAGTCCTGTTTCTCTGCAGGCATAATCAGACCGATCAACCCAGGAGACGGTCGTAATAATGGGTGTAGCTAGACGGTTCCAATGGCCTCGACACAATACCGATATTGGCAAGGGTATTATTGTACACACACATACATACACACACACAAATAAACAAACGGGTTGAGATAGCCATCGACAGCATTAGTGAATTTGACAGTATTCACCGAGAACATCAGTTTTACATCACCGACTGAACATGAGCTATCGCACTGTGCCATCGGCACTTGACAGCCTCCATCACAATACCGCACGCTATGCTTGTGTTATCTTTACTACCTAATGGTCAGTGTCTGATCGTCACTAACTACCGACCCGTTGGCGATGTGCTGTCCTTATCGGTCAGTTCTGGCCAGTGTTTGGTCAGCGACTCGGTGCTAACACTGATTATAGTACACCTGTGTGTGTTACCCGTTACATCACTCTCATCCTATCGGCCCACTTTACGGCGTGTTGTCGGCGACTAGACAGCGCATTACAAGGTGGCAATCACGGAGCATTAACCTTGCGCAAATAATTGCAGAAAGTTTTATAACCGGCTATTCGTATAGCCGATCTCTGGGTTTACGCTCCGTGCCAAGGTCCGTTACCTATGGAGTATGTGGTGTCATTCGTCGCCAAGTCAAAAGAACGTTTGGAGCAACACCTTACTGATAATAAGTTGTCATCATGGGTATTATGAAGAATAGTCTACACCTACCAACACTGTCACTTACATAATTATTTACAAACAAGTATAAACGTTGGGGTGAGTGTGCCCGTCAAGTGCAGTCTTTACGGCCCCTATCCGTGACGACACGCCAAGATCTGTTTACAATGTACGCTTTATTGCTCGCCGTTTACAAGGAATGGTTCCTCTATCGCAACGGGATATTGCTAGTGTTCCGCGATATGACGTAACCCAAAGCAATAATGTACCTCCAACATGTAATTAGTTAGGTCTCACGTGTAACAACTTTCGTAAGATATCGGTTATGACCTCCCAACTCCTCCCTCTCATAAGTCCCGTGTAAAATGCGGCGTCACACCTCGGCCGATCAGTTTTTACATAGGCCTACGTGCTAAGGAGACTAGGAGGAAGACATACGTCAGACCTTCTGACAACAACATATAGGACGTATAATGTTAGAATTTGGCACCAAGCCTCTTATTCAGCTCTGACACAGTGTTACAATAACTCGATTATTTGACTGAAATCAGTTTCGAAAGTTGAGATATTTAACGTGTTACATTGGTGAGATGCTCAACATGTAATAGAAAAGTTTATTCTTCGACATCCATGATTCGCTGACGTCAAAATCTCTTGGAATTATGTGAATGCATACCTATCGGTATATCACACTTCAGCTTGCTAGCGTCCAGTTCCTTCCCAAGTACTAAGTAAGAGCCGTTTTAGTTTCTAATCACTTTCCTAGCGCCGTACCAGTCTCTAACCTCTTTCCTAGAACTAAATAAGCGCCGTGATAGTCTCAGGTCCCCTCCCTAGTTACCAAGTAAGCGCCGTGCTAGTCTCAGGTCCCCTCCCTAGTTACCAAGTAAGCGCCGTGATAGTCTCATGTCCCCTCCCTAGTAACCATGTAAGCGCCGTGCTAGTCTCAGGTCCCCTCCCTAGTTACCAAGTAAGCGCCGTGATAGTCTCAGGTCCCCTCCCCTGTAACTAAATAAGCGCCGTGATAGTCTCAGGTCCCCTCCCTAGGTACCAAGTAAGCGCCGTGCAAGTCTCAGGTCACCTTCATAGTTACCAAATAAGCGCCGTGCTAGTCTCAGGTCACCTTCATAGTTACCAAATAAGCTCCGTGCTAGTCTCTGTTCCCCTCCCTAGTTACCAAGTAAGCGCCGTGCTAGTCTCTGGTCCCCTTCATAGTTACCAAATAAGCCCCGTGCTAGTCTCTGTTCCCCTCCCTAGTTACCAAGTAAGCGCCGTGCTAGTCTCAGGTCACCTTCATAGTTACCAAATAAGCTTCGTGCTAGTCTCAGGTCCCCTCCCTAGTTATCAAGTACGCGCCGTGCTTGTCTCAGGTACCCTCCCTAGTTACCAAGTAAGCGCCGTGCTAGTCTCAGGTCCCCTCCCTAGTTACCAAGTAAGCGCCGTGCTAGGTTCCAGTCCCCTTTTTAGTAACAAGTATCCCAAGTACCCATTAGGTACTGTGCTGGCGTATGTACGGTCACCGGTCGTGTCTCGCCTGTCCAGGCCTACTCTATACCTTCTATCCCTCCTACACACACGGGACAGGCTCGTTTGTCTTTTGCTCGTTAACGTCCAGCGTCAGGTCAGTCCAGTTTCCCGTCCGCTCCGGACAGGCCCACTGGTTGATGACATCTGTTGTGTATTTACTGTCTAACTCACGCATCAGATTTATTTTGGCACGAATTGTATCGCCGAGGAGCGAATTCGAAATACACTGGCGGATGACGGGAGATTAGTAGCCTCCACTGTCCGACATTATCTATACTGGTTTTCCTGTGTTAGAGCGGATTTTTGTCAAGGTCACATTACAATTATATCTGACAGTAGTATTTTGGTTATGGAACGAACGAAAGTTATCCTATAAGTGTGAATGGAAGTTGAGTACGACAGTCGTGAACAGATTAGTCTGGTTCTAGAACGAAGCGAGGTGACGACGGTTGTACGAGGTCTCGGGTCAGGATCAAGTGCGACGTTGCCGTCTTGACAGTTTAATTGTCCGATAGTACGCATCCTCGCAGGAGGCTGCACTGTTCAGTCTGCCTTTCCACCACCTCAAAACATCTCGATCAGCTGGGCTCAAGTACCTAGCCATTGTCTTTGAGAACAGCACATGCATCCCATTATCAAACTCTGAGGAAATCTGGGCGACGTAGCCGTCCACAACCGCGTCGGGTGTGACTCCCGACAATATTACAAACACTGGTCAGCGGCCGTCAATATACAACGACAACAGTAGCCATTATCTGTTCTACCTTCAAGATATACTAGTAACTTGATTTACGAGTGGTAGACTAGATACGAATCGCCAGTCCTATCATAAACTGGATGCTGACATTGTATAGCCAATTATAACACGTGTCCAGTCGACAAACTGTCGCGTGCGACACTAAACATGCAATATAAAACACAGGTTTTATGCGAATTCAACATTAGCTAGCAGAAACTAATGAAAATAGTAACTTTTTCCTGCTCGTTTTTATCGTTTCTTTGCCGTCGATGTTTCGTCGTTTCGTCGTTAAATCGTTTTACCTACTCTTTTTTTTACGGGTGAATTAGACTAAGTAAGGTTACAAATAACCGACTATAGTAAGACAGTATAGAGAAAAAGCAATTAGTTCCTAACGTTATCCTGTATCACGCGCAGATTTCCCGCGTGCAGACATATCGCTAACAGGGATGCACATGTAACCTTTGTTCGTATCAAACGTATTTCGCATTTGGAAAGGATCGCTGGTTTACCGATGTATGGCCGAGCGAGGCCAGCTAAGTATATTTTACACTCGTATATAAACCAGCTTTGGGTTTCCAAAAAGTATATATACAAACTAAAATTAGAAAGTTATCATTTCATATGGATGTAGGTAATCCACGATTCATCATATAATGTATATATATATATATATATCGGAATATACACCTGCCCCACGTGCACGTGCGGTTTAGGCAGTCGGTGGTTTGTAACGCGGGCTGCTGGCTATCAGTGAACTTCTGTTTATATTGTGTCTATGAGGAAACCATATAGAATACTGCTGACTCAGCTTACGAGACGCATTTACACTTCGAGTTCTATAACTACTTAACTATTTAATACATCCATACATACGTGCGATAAAGGTTCTCGCGGCCCCTATCCGCCTCAAGTGCCCGACCAATGCTATATCGGAGGATGCCAGGACGAGGCGATTATAGATGATAATCTATAATCGCCTGCTTTTGATGTACTGTTTCACGAGGAAGATTACACAAAACAAATACAATTCCGTTACCTCATACGCAAAGAAGACAAAGTTCGTGGCTAATCGCCGTTCGTGTAGATACGACATGAATGTTCACAAGAACGGTACCAAGGACAAATCCACACGGCGCTTCAACTCGGACGGCACCGGGACAACCGAATCTGCACTCAGGACGTCAAAAGGAGCAAAGCGGCCTTTTTAGTGCTTCCTTTTCTGATTGTATTAAAGCGGTCACGGACCCTAATTACAGTTCTCCGGACAGGACCCTGAAGTGCGGCGGAATTTTCGTCATCTGACCATAGGGTATTGTTATTAAATGGGAATTGACATCAGGAAAGCCGATTTTAGACCGTTAAAGTCAGAAATATGTTGTCCGACCCCTCCCGTTGTTTTCTACGGGTCGAATTTATTTGTCAGTTCGTCAAGCTAGCCGACCATCTGTCAGACAGTAAGGTGTAAATCCAGGGTTTCTGACCCGGCAAACAGAATCACGTCCAAGCACCGCTGTATCAGTGTCTCGGCAGCTTTATAGCGTGTATTTACAACTGTAGTGCTGGAACAGCAGATTGTACAATAGTCATAAAGAAAACGTTTATACTATCTACATTTAAAATTTTAAGAGGAAGCCTGCAATTTTATAACTGAGTTACATTAAACGTGTTACAAGAAGTCACATCAAGTTTATATGATTATCTTTGTTATACCTACTACGTCGTCCTGTGTCTATATAGACTTACGAATAAGTAAAAGTATGTAGTATATCTTTATTCTATATAGACTTACGTATATAGTAATCTAAACTAGACCCACATTTACAGTATCAAGTCTGTATAACGTCTCTATTGAGTTACATATATAGGAAAATCTATTGACTTAATGTCATCACACAGGCTGAACGTAACCCCAATTATCCTGTCATCGGAGTGAGCATAACCATGTAGACGTACATGTCATCAGATAGGCTGAATACAGTCATCAACTTACCATGTCGTCAGATTAAACACAACCTATATAGGCATATCAAGTTATCTTAAAGGCTGAACACAGCCTATATAGACATAGTATGTCATCATTAGGGCTGAACACAGCCTATATAGACATAGTATGTCATCATTAAGGCTGAACACAGCCTATATAGATATAGGATGTCAACATTAAGGCTGAACACAGCCTATATAGACATAGGAGTTCAACATTAAGGCTGAACCCAGCCTATATAGACATAGTATGTAATCATTAAGGCTGAACACAGCCTATATAGACACATTATGTCATCATATAGGCTGAACACAGCCATCGAGACTTACATGTCATCAGATTGAACACGGCCTATGTTATCATAAAGGCTGAACACAGCCTATATAGCCATACTATGTCTTTATATGCCATCAGAAAGGCTGGACATAGTCCTATAGACTTACCATGCCATCACATAGGCTGAACACAGCCCTGGAGGAAGTATCATTATTAACAGTTCCAGTATAGAAACACTTTTCCAAACTGTCATCAAATCCGTCCTCGCTCCACGTGTAGTTGTTCTCATGTTTCTCTACTAAAACATTTTCAGGCGAAATAAAATCTTTGGTAAAACTCAAGTCAAATAAAAATTGCCTTCCATAGGCGGGGAACATATACACGACTTTTTGTTCATTGAGATCATCTGCATTAAATGTAATATCCCTTTTGTGAATTTCATGTTGATTAGCACTCTCTGCATTCAAACGAACGGGGTAAACAACTTCCTTCCCTTCAGCCTTCACACCTGGAACATATAAAATCAATATATTATTAACAAAACATTTTTAAAAAATCAATTATAATGCAGAAATTAGTTTTTTAAGATAAAATCTATTAATTGGTGTAATGATTTGTACTGACCGTGGCGATTTTGCCGGGAGTCCTGCTCGGTCTGTGGTCGACAGTGAATCAGAAGTGGTAAGAATGTCAACATTAGAAAGTGTAAACGGATTTTGGACCGCACAACCACAGCCATCGTAATTGCACATGGTCAATCCTGGTCTCTCATCCCGTTACACACCCCTTACTACAATCCAAGTTATGTTACCATCTTTTTGAGTATACCTAGTTTGGAAAACTTATAGCCACGCCCACCCCAGTGCTGATTGGCCAACTAGCCTGAGCCTAGACGGGGCGCGAGGCGACAGTAGTGGTGTAGTACTCGCACGCAATGTGGAAACGAACCTGGTGTATTAGCCTTTTTGTTATATAGAACTACTTGTAAGCAACAACCTGCTATAAGTATATACACATAGATGATTACTGCTATCCGACTGAACTTACTCAGTATAACTAGCAGTATCACATGGTAAAAAAAATACACAGTATTTAAAACCTCTTACAAAACACGAAGAAAATATACTGTTGGATTATTTTTATTATTATTTTCATTCCTTTCAATTGACCATACGCATCTAATCAATATAGCAAAGCGAAGCGGTTTGTAAGTTTTAAGAAACACTTTAACACAAAACAGCATGCATTCAATTCTCGCACAAAGTGTGACAGGGGAGACAACCCCTACTCGTTGAATGCCTTAAGCCTTTATTGTGGTGAGAGCACATTCATGTTTTGATAAGTTATTTACGATGATTGTTTTACCGAATCTAGCTTTAAAATGTTGGATAATTTGACAATATGAAGAAAAGAAAAAATCTGTACCACACATTACCCTCTAGGTCATTGTACTTTAGGTTTGCAACAGATGGTAAACAAGAGTTCACATGGAAGGTGCTTTTCAACCACGACCCCACATACCATGTTATATTTTAGCTTTAGCGGACTTTTGTATCAACATCCAAATACTTAGTGTAATGTCACCCCGGTAAAAAAAACAGCTGCTTCCTTTTAGCTCATTCGGTAGAGAGTAAGACTAGTAAACCAGAGGTCACGAGTTCGACTCCCAGCGAGGCATTGAAAAATTATGTCCTCTGCTACATCGGCGGCCACGCAGGGACCCAGTAAATTTACACAAAAATACTCAGCGATACTTTTAAAAGAATCGCAATGAACTGGAAGATTCGGGACAGGTTCTTTCCGGAAAGGGGAGTATGTCCTCCTGGTACACAATACTACCCGTTTAGAACTACCGACTCGGCTAGGGAGAATTTCTCTTTAGCTCATTCAGTGCGTAAGAGTAGTAAGCTAGAGAACCCGGGTTCGACTCCTGGCGGAGGCACCGAAAAAAATGATCACCTCTGTTAAATAGTGAAAACTGTACGATATCGGGCTATTAGCCAAACATTACAACAACGCGGTTAATAGGGAGAAACTAAGCTATCTTATACCCAAAAAATCAGCCATACTGAAATGTACGCATATACCTATTCATCTAGAGGGGGGGTATTTCAAGTCCCCTCTTTAAAAAAATGAACGTAAAAAAGAGGATTAATAACAACCGAAAAGCAAAAGGTACAGGCCTGCATATCCTTCCCATCAATATTCAAAAGGCTAAGTAGCACTACAATACCAGGAAAATTACTATGACAAACAAATAAGCATATAAACATTAAAAAGAACCCTCGAACTTTCAGCCACCCACCCAGAAATCATTAAGTACTGAATGTTCTTCGATATTGATACACAAGTTGTCCGGGTACGTTATATGTCGGTTAAGGACCATAAATCTTCCCTAACTCTGACGTCACATACCTTGAGTACGACACTACAAGCAATCCCCGATGACGTCCCCTACTGATAAATGTCTCTCTCAGAGACGTGTCACCGGTCAAATTTAACTATCGGCGGCTGGTTTATAACATTGTTTAATTTTCATATGCCTGAACAACAACAAGACCCCCTACATCTTCAAAATGACGAAAGCCAGCTTTACACTTCCGTAAACATTCTCTTTCTTTTAGACACGTGTACTACAGCGCCTCTGATAGATCCGTTGCTGCCAGCCGTGCACACGGCGAATACCATCAGAGGAGATGACGTCACAGCACATGGAGTGATTGGGTACACGTTCGTTACATACACAGCACACACATTGTTCGTGCTTTCATCAGAGTGTAATATATATCTGATAATTTGCGGAGACGTTCCGTACGATCTTTCAGATATTCTTGGTCATTTCGGCGCTCTATTTCCTACTTCCCTTCCTCCTTACGCGTGTAATTCACCAGACGTTGATACATTAAGGATAATATCACAGGATCTCCTGTAACAACTAGTACTTTCTGATTCGTCAATTAAACAAACTCTTTCGTCTTTGCTAATCCAAATCTTTCATATTGCGAAGCCTTCGTTTAGATTTTAGACAAGTGCTTGTGTGAGTGTTATACTCGGTACGACGGATGGGAAACAATACAGATAATACGAACCAATAGTTCCCGTTTAAGATGTATGCATAAATTGCAAATTTCTAAACGAAGGGACCTCACTCGGCAGTTGTCGTCCTGAGCGTGCGCCTTTTATATTCCTGGCTGGCGCGAACAATCTTTAAGAAGAGACGGACATGACCACTGACAAAGGGATGGACATGTGGACACACTGTAGTGGACTAGACATTAGAAGGGACGGACTCGCATATACGGATAGGTTACGGACGTCAGGGACAGATTCGAATATGGATAAAATTTTCTGCAGGTGAAAACGTAGGACGGTTGTGAGAACGAATGAAGCTTTCGAGACGAACATGAATACGGACGTGAGAACCAATTTGAAACGGATCTCGATGGTATAACCGGAATTAGACATGTTCCTGTCTTCGAACTGGGTCGCGGGTTCGAGACCTACGTGGGGCAGTCGCCAGGTACTGGTCGCAAGTCGGTGGGTTTTTTCTCCGGGTACTCCGGCTTTCCTCCACCTCCAAAAACTGGCACGTCCTTAAACAAACCAAACCCGTCATCGACGTTATATATGAGGTGAATTCTCTGGAGTCATCGACGTTATATATGTGGTGAATTCTCTGGGGGCATCGTCGTTATATATGTGGTGAATTCTTTAATCACTGTCTTTGTCTGTTTGCTACTTCTCTAAATTCATCGTCCTCACATGTAGTAACTTTTCAGAGTCATTGCCTTTGAATAATGACTTCCTTAGAGTCACTGTCTGTGGAGACAGGTTGGGTGATATAGATGTCGATAAGGGGTATTGGTATAACCGGAATTAGACATGTTCCTGTCTTCGAACTGGGTCGCGGTTTCGAGACCTACGTGGGGCAGTCGCCAGGTACTGGTCGCGAGTCGGTGGGTTTTTTCTCCGGGTACTCCGGCTTTCCGCCACCTCCAAAAACTGGCACGTCCTTAGACAAACCAAACCCGTCATCGACGTTATATATGAGGTGAATTCTCTAGAGTCATCGACGTTATATATGAGGTGAATTCTCTAGAGTCATCGACGTTATATATGAGGTGAATTCTCTGGAGTCATCGTAGTTATATATGTGGTGAATTCTCTGGAGACATCGTCGTTATATATGTGGTGAATTCTCTGGTGTCATCGTCGTTATATATGTGGTGAATTCTTTAATCACTGTCTTTGTCTGTTTGCTACTTCTCTAAATTCATCGTCTTCACATGTAGTAACTTTTCTGAGTGATTGCCTTTGAATAATGACTTCCTTAGAGTCACTGTCTGTGTAGACAGGTTGGGTGATATAGATGTCGATAAGGGGTATTGGTATAACCGGAATTAGACATGTTCCTGTCTTCGAACTGGGTCGCGGTTTCGAGACCTACGTGGGGCAGTCGCCAGGTACTGGTCGCGAGTCGGTGGGTTTTTTCTCCGGGTACTCCGGCTTTCATCCACCTCCAAAAACTGGCACGTCCTTAGACAAACCAAACCCGTCATCGACGTTATATATGAGGTGAATTCTCTAGAGTCATCGACGTTATATATGAGGTGAATTCTCTGGAGTCATAGACGTTATATATGAGGTGAATTCTCTGGAGTCATAGACGTTATATATGAGGTGAATTCTCTGGAGTCCTCGACGTTATATATGAGGTGAATTCTCTGGAGTCCTCGACGTTATATATGAGGTGAATTCTCTGGAGTCATAGACGTTATATATGAGGTGAATTCTCTGGAGTCATCGACGTTATATATTAGGTGAATTCTCTGGAGTCATCGACGTTATATATGTGGTGAATTCTCTGGGGGCATCGTCGTTATATATGTGGTGAATTCCCTGGAGTCATCGTCGTTATATATGTGGCGAATTCTTTAATCACCGTCTTTGTCTGTTTGCTACTTCTCTAAATTTATCGTCTTCACATGTAGCAACTTTTCTGAGTCATTGCCTTTGAATAATGGCTTCCTTAGAGTCACTGTCTGTGTAGACAGGTTGGGTGATATAGATGTCGATAAGGGGTATTGGTATAACCGGAATTAGACATGTTCCTGTCTTCGAACTGGGTCGCGGTTTCGAGACCTACGTGGGGCAGTCGCCAGGTACTGGTCGCAAGTCGGGGGGTTTTTTCTCCGGGTACTCCGGCTTTCATCCACCTCCAAAAACTGGCACGTCCTTAGACAAACCAAACCCGTCATCGACGTTATATATGAGGTGAATTCTCTAGAGTCATCGACGTTATATATGAGGTGAAGTCTCTGGAGTCATCGACGTTATATATGAGGTGAAGTCTCTGGAGTCATCGACGTTATATATGAGGTTAATTCTCTGGAGTCATCGACGTTATATATTAGGTGAATTCTCTGGAGTCATCGACGTTATATATTAGGTGAATTCTCTGGAGTCATCGACGTTATATATGAGGTGAATTCTCTGGAGTCATCGTCGTTATATATGTGGTGAATTCTTTAATCACCGTCTTTGTCTGTTTGCTACTTCTCTAAATTCATCGTCTTCACATGTAGTAACTTTTCTGAGTCATTGCCTTTGAATAATGACTTCCTTAGAGTCACTGTCTGTGTAGACAGGTTGGGTGATATAGATGTCGATAAGGGGTATATGGTAGTGGGAAATACTACACGTACACATGTCACGGGTACAAACAGATATACGTGCATGTTAAACGCACGTGAAACTTCATTGCCAGGATGATATTTGATTCAT